CAAAACAAGGGGTTACAGATTTAAAACTAACCACCAGCACAAACAAAAAACAAACAAAAAACAAACAAACAAACAGATGAGAACCCCTTCAGGCTTTAGCAGCAGCCTTTTACTAAGAATTCTCTTCTGGGAAGGAAATCTACTGTTTGTATTTAGGGCTTGTGATTTAATGAAATCAACACAACTTCTTTTTCCACAGCTCTGAGATTGCTGGCAAGCTCTCTGTAGACTTAGTTTGATTTCCTACTCTCTAGCTTTTCAGTAGAGAAAACCTGACCATGTTTGTTCTGGGCCCAATTTCAGTACAGTAGTGTTTTGTACTGTCGTTGCAGCTTCTAAGACTATCTTAGTGAGTTTCCCTGTTCACACGAAGGGAATGTGGATTTAGGGAGAACTAACATAGGAAGCAGCGCCCCCTGGTGGACGATGGTGAAACAACTCTGGCTGAACTACTGCAACGGGGCAGGTTATAAGGGGCGGCCCCAGGACCCCTTACCTTGTGCAGCTCCTTCTTTGATGTCCCCAACCATAAAATAGGTATTCTCACTTCTGCCATCCTATTTCTCTTCTCGCATACTTGGAAGCGTACATAATGAATGCTATGCAGTTCAGAGGTCCCTGACACTTTTCTCCTCAAGAACCAGTTTCGATTTATTCAAAATTTCATGCATTTCCACAACTGTCTATTTTGAAGATCAGTGACAGATACCATAATTGGAGTGGCAAAAATTGTAAAACATCAGAAAATTAAATGAAATTAACCATGAGGTTTCATGTAGTTTTTGTTGAGGGGCAAGGGAGGAGAAAACAGACTGTCACCGCTGCTTTCCAGAGCAGGTCCTGAAGCCTCCCAGCTCTCCTGGCCTGGGTGGTCACTGGCCCAGAAGTCTACAGGCTTGGCCACTATATCTAATATCTACTGACCAAATAAAGACTAGAATGCATCGCTGAGGATTTTATTATTCTTCCAGTTTGTAGACAATCGTGCAGTGGAATTGCTATGGGTAGTTCTTTAGCTTCACTCTCTATGTAACATGAAGGTTGGTTCTAGTATTTTTGCCCTTTAGAAACTTCTTTAAAATCATTACATTGGTTTATCCTTTTATTAAACAATATCTATCTATGACCACCAATTCCATGCTTAGGTATCTACCCAAATGAAACATACATACACAAAGACTTGAATGTATATGTTCATATCAGCATGATTTATAAGAGCCAAACAATTTAAACAATCCAAATATCCATGAAATGGTGAATAAATAAACAAAATGTGGTATTTCCACAAGATGGAATACCCACTCAGCAGTAAAAGGAACGAAATATTGACACATGACAATATGGATGAACCTAAAAGACTCTGCTAAGGGAAAGAGGCCATACTGAAGAATTTACATACTGTGTGATTCCATTTATGTGAAACATCTGTTAAAGGCAAACCGATAGAGACAGAAAGATCAGTACTGTGACCTGAGTTGAGCTGCCGAGCATTCTCAGATCATTGTGCTAGCATGTACAGAATACCGAAGTTGTAAAGTGTATCTTACACTGTTACTTTACAAAATGAAAGTGCAAATTGTTATTATTCTTTTACATAGGGCACTTTCCTAAGGGAAAAGGCAAAGCACACCCTATAAGAGCATACATTTAGAAACTGGGCCCTGGCTGGAGTAGATTGAGCACGGGCCTATGAAGCAAAGGGTTTCCGGTTAGATTTCCAGTCAGGGCACATGCCTAGGTTGCAGGCCAGGTCCCCAGTAGGGGACACATGAGAGGCAACCACACATTGATGTTTCTCTCCCTTTCTCCCTCATTTCCCTTCTCTCTAAAAATAAATAAATAAAATAAAAAAAGAAACTGGCTTCTCTATGTGTGCACATCCCTTTATTTAGCACCTCTCTTCTCAAGCATTGGGGTGGGGTAGAAGCAGTGCCCACCAATCGCTGCTCCGCAGTCAAGTGCAGGCATCTGGAGAGGAAGGAAATGTAATGGCTGCGGCAGCCATGCCCAGGTGTGCAGCAGATGTGTAACCAAGGGGGTCAATGAGTATCCCTGTAGAAAAACACTGTTCTCAATGACTATACCTGGTTGATTCAACATTCATGGAGCACGTACTGTGTTCAGGATCTGCAGCCATGGTAATATATGGGAAACGTCCCTAACCTTAAGAGTCATACACTCTTGGGTGGGAAGAGGGGAAGTGGCTGATTTGGGGTAAAGGAGAGCAAGAAATACGAGGCGATATCTATTTTAAAATTCTTTTCAATAATAGATAACTGACCTGAGGCTTCCTTGCAGTGTGAACAGGATTTAGGTTTATTTAATACAATGTTCTGTTGGCAATCACAAGCCCTCAGACTTGCAGGACGATGATGACCTAGCTTATCTGCCTTGACATATATGGACAGGACTGGGGAGGCAGACTCTGCTCTCCTTGAAATTCCTCTGTACCAAAACAATGAAGACTGTGGCCCAATTCCACAACTGGTCCATCATTATGTCCCCAGCGCTCTGTACTCTTACCATGAGATCCTTGGACATGATGGAGCCATAAAGTGGAAAAATCCCTGCCTACAAGGAACAGACCATTGGATTGTTATGGGTGCAAGAAATAATTTTATTGTTTAAGTTACGGAAATCTTCATGTTTGTTACATCAGCTAATGTCATCTAATAAAGAAATTTTGTATCTTGATACTGGTGCTGCAGTTACAGAAACATAAAATACCTGAAAGTTTAGTGGTTAGGAGCTGGCAAAAAGAAAGAGAGAAGAGAAGAAGAAAAAAAAGAAAAGAAAGAGATTGAAATGAAGGAAAGAAGAAAGGAAGGGAGAGAGGGAGGGAACTGGAAAGATTGAGAGTCATGTTCTGTTGTTATGTGGTGGAGAAATACTGACTGAAACTGTCACCTGTCATAATATGAATGACAAAGAACAGACTACTAGAGAAGAGGCAAAATGGTAATGTGTACTGATTGTTCCTCTCCATATTTGTGAAGGGGGTATGTATGGTGGGAAGAGAGAGAGAGAATGGACTAGTATAACCTGGTAAGCACAAACAAAAATTCCAGAAATTTGGGAAATTCTTTGCAGTTACAAGAATCGAGCACTTAAAGATTCCAGACAATAGCAAATAAGACTAAAAACGGCTTTGACCAAGGCCCACTGAGACATCAGGTAAACAAAGTGACTCAGCCTTGAGAAACGCATTACAAACATTATACTCCCAATCCAGGCCTTGTCTTATATGCCTTCAAAGCAACTACTATTAAGTTTACAGGGAAACTGGCTTGGGAGCAAAGAGTAAAACTGTAATTCCTGCTCTCTACCCCTTCCATCTTCCCAGTCAGTGTACCTGTCACTTCCCCTGAGCCTGCTGTTCTGCGTAGCTCTGGATCCTCACAGCCCTGGTGCGGGGCTTGAAAAAGGCACCTTGAACAACTTCATGTTCATCAAACAGGTGGTAAGGCTTCCTCTGACTCATATTTACCTGCCATCTTATTTCCCCCTCTTCAATCCAGGTTTCCGCTCTTCCCCGCTTGTGGAGATTTCAGCTGAACAGTCATGCTGGGGTTTAGAGTGGGAAGCGGGGTGGGGGGAGGGGACCAACAGCCCTGAGGACCCCTCTGGGACCCCTCCCTGTCCAGAGGCTCTGGCTCTCAGGACCCCGAGAGGGACGCTGCCTGGGTCCCTCACATCCCTCATGGCCGCGAACTGCAGCATCTCTGTGTGCAGTCAGCCACTGTGCACATCAAACCTCATCTCAGCTCTGGACATGTCTCTGTAATGGTTTTCAACATAAGACCGATAAAACTAACATGTGTGGACTGGAAAGAAATCCAGGAAGAGAAAGCGATTTATGACACAAGCCTAGTAAGTCAATCCAATGTTAAATTTGTAAATTTAGGACCAGCCCTCCATGCCTTAAGATGTCTTCTTGGACGCAGAGTTGCTTTTTATGCTTCCTTCAAATCTAGGCGTAATGTTACTCCTCAGTTCTCACCTAGATATTTCCCATCCACCACCCCCTCTAGCTGCCCATCTCCTTACTGGAGGTGTCTCTGCCCCGGGAACAAGCTGTGAGCCCTGACCCTTGGTGACACCTCAGCCCCAAACCTGTCTTCAGGCCCCGTCCATGGGGGCCCTCCAGCCCCACCCCTTCGGCAGGTCCAAGGTCAGCAGAGAAGGCTCGGGGCCCGAGGACAGCTCCTGGAATAGGCGCGGGCACAGGTTGGGACAGCTGCTCAGAAGACACCTGCCAGGCAACAGAGGTCTCCACTATAGGCAGAGTGTTCATTTCTAGGAAGGAACCAGCCAGGTTAGCTCCAGGTGGCATTTGTAAAGCTCCTTCTGCACGGCAGCAAGGGGAACACCTGCCTGCAGCGGCAGGAGAATGGGCACCTGAAGGCAGTGAATGACTTCAGCGGAGGGTGACTGCGGTGGGCAGTTGTGGGGGGACAGGAGCCACAGGGCAGGGGGTGGCAGTGGGGAACAAATGCTTTGGACATACTATGAAATGTCCAGATGTTCTGCTGGCGATCCCTACTTGCTTGGCAAAATTGGTTAGGAAAATTACCCAAATGCAAAGAAAAACGACCTAAATCTAAAAGCCAGAGGACTAGGGAGCACATGGGGACCCAACTTTCCAACCCTTATTTCAGAAAAAAATGCTATTTAAAAAAAAAAGTTAGGAATAAATTTAAGGCCTTAAGTTCACATGTAGCATTCACAGTTATATTTCAAATATAAAAGAGGTAATCAATCAGCTGATTAGGTGTGAAATGACTTTGACAAGACTGTATAGAAAAATAAGTCATATCCTCCGCGTGCCAACTGAGCATGGAAGGCCGCCGCGCTGACCGCCCTGCGGCAGGCTCACTGAGCCTTCCCTGCGGTGGCCGTCACCGGCTGCCGTCCCAGCACCACTGCACTCCCCCGCCCCGTTGCCAGGCCTCGGGAACCGTGCACGGCCAAGAAAACCCTCCCTGGAAGGGCAGCACACGTCAGGTTTGGACATATTTTTTATTTAGTTTACTTTCACATTTACAGACTCAGGCAGCCCTTCTGAAAAAGGGAAGGTTGAGGTTGCCTAGAAGAAAAGCTGGGCTCATGGGCACTTGGGACTTGTCACAGGGAAACAATCCCTTATCTCAAGGGCTCTCGGGGTCAGAAGGCACCTGACAGAGTGGCCGTGGCTCGCTCCTCAGTACCTGGAAGATGTATTACTGGAGGCTGCCTCAGCCCAGGATTTTATTGCTGGTGAACCTCACTATCCAACTCAGAGTCCAGGGTGATGGCACCATCAAAAACAGGTCCAGTGGTGAGCAGCTGGCTGAGATGAGACCGAAACGAGTCAATTGCACTGACTGCAATGCTGCCCTGCTGGCCTTCAGCCCCAGGGGAGGGCCCCGGAGGAGAAAGGAAGAAAAGTCCCCACTGCCCATCCAGACAGGACAAAGACGAAGAGGGACAACAATCAGGACGGGCAGGCCCAAATCCACAGCAGCCTGAGCTCCAGAACCCAACCAGCTCTTCCTTTTCCCATGCCACTTTAAGGCCCCCAAAGATGTTCGCTTTCTCAGGTGGAAAGAATATACACTCCTCTCACTTTCCAAAATTATATATCTAGGGCTGAATGAGATAATCACTTGGCTGGCAGAGGCTCAGAAATATGAACTGATAGTAAGCAGACATGTATTCGGAAAAGATAGGCTGCCAAAAAGTGCCTTTGGGTCACCCCTGAATGTCACAGGAAGAAGACAGTCATGGACAGAATGGTTTACCTCTATGAGTATAGCAGCGCCAAGATGAAGGCCAGGGGAGTAATTTTATTACGCAGATTTGGGCCTGCATTAGCCCCTGCAATTTCTGCACACCATCATCTTTTCAGGTCTCCCGAAAGTGCTGCGTGCTACTCCTGCGACCCCCCATTTAGGCGATCTCCGCCATCTAGGGGAGCTGTGGTGCACCCGCCTCCTTGACAGCTGAGGGAAATGACTCCTAGTGCCATATAATTTTTCCTCCTGGTCTTTAGACTGCAAACGTGTAGTTCTTTTCCCTAAGGAGAGCAAAGACCTACTGGCATTGGCAGGGAGTGGGGGACGAAGGCCCTCAGTGAACCTGCTGTTCAAACTGCGCCGTCACGGTCAGGGTGCAGCTTCATCGGTCAGGGTGCAGCTTCATCGGCCGAGGCGCCTGTGGGCCCACCGCTGACACAGGAGTCTTAAGGAGGGTGATGGAGGAAGCATCGTTCCTGTGCACAGGTTCCCTTCTGCTTAGCCTCTGGTCTAACGAGGGTTTCTGAATTCACAGTCCTACGCATTAGTTTAGCAAAAAATCTGGCTTCTGATACCCAAAGAGCTTAAAGTCCCCTTGGAAACGGGCATACAGGCGGCGGACGTCCCGCTTGCTGATGCCCAGAAAGTAGCGCTCCACCTTGGTTCTGTTATACACGGTGATGCCCGGAGGGATGGTGGGGTATGACACCAGGTGGTCTATGCCGGCCTCCCTTAAGATGTAAGGAGCATCGTCCTCCAGGGTCTCATGGTGACCAATCACACTGTATGTTATCTCGCAGGGCGCACACAGTTCTACATACGTCACCCAGTGAATAATGTGGTCCCCAAACTGAAGGTCCAGCCACCTGTGGTTGGGATCGCCCAGGTAGCGCACAAAATCTTCAAACTGGATGCCCCGGGTCTCTGTCCGGTTCCTCCTGTATTTCCTGATGATGCCGGGGGCAATCTCATGCCTGTACCAAGGCTCAAAGCGGGGATTGTGAACAAATTTATCCTTAAAAGCAGAAATCAGTCTTTCGAAGGGATCTCTTACAATAAAAAACTTGAAGTAGGTTTTCAAGCTGAAGAAAAAAAATGAAGAGAACCAAGAGGTTAAGCGGATGCTGTTGGTGGTGCCAATGACAGCGGCACAGCAGCCACCGGGTCCTGAACCCTTGCCAGGCGAGCCCGGAGTGCCTGCTCCTTAACCCACTCCAACACCGCCCGTTAGTAGCCCCGGCTTCGGGTGAGCAAAGGCAGGCTCAGCCACCGTCACTGTCCAAGGCCACAGTACCACCCCCTCACCCTCGGGGGACTCAGTAAAAACATCTATTTAACCTATGTTTTGTTTTACTTGGGTATTTCGAAACTGTAAGAATGTTTAAAAGTTTTGCCTTTGAGCAGAAAATCCTACGGGCAGGAATCCTGAATGAGTTAGAAAAGCTCAGGCCAGAGAAAGTTACTTTATATATCTCTAAAGATTCAATCCAAAATTGCCAGGAGCAGCAAAAATGGGAAGATGTGGTAGGAGATGAGGGAGAGGGAAGCTTCGGGCTCCAGCTGGCAGGAGAGGTGGCCTGGGAGACCTGCAGGAGAGGTAATGGTGGCGCCGGGGAGCAAAGGGCCTGCAGCGGTGACTGCGAAGACAAAACAGTGAGGACGCTGTTGTTGTAAGTGTGCTTCCTCCAGGCCAGAAACTGCGCACAGTGCTCCCAGGACTTGACTCATTTCCTCTCATAAAAGCCACAAGACATAGGCACTCAGGAAGGTAACAGGACAGCCCTGGCCCAGATGCTGGCCCTGGCATTTAGCGCCTACAAACTGAAGGGTGGGAAGAATGCGTACCCAGGGCTGGAACCAATGAAAAGGTGCTGAAGAGTGAGAGAGGGTAAAGTTCAGTTGGTCCCTGACTTTCTTATCCCTTTTAAACATTGTCATATGGGGCCATTTCATAACTCATAAAGAGAAATTTTAAATTTATTAGCTAACTAATTTGCAAAAGCCAGTGCCCATCCTTGCTGTGACTGCTGGCGTCAGTCTCCCAGTCTGTGCTAGGTCCGGTCCACACCAGCACTCCTGGGGCAGTTACCGTGGAAGCAGGGATAACACTCTTGGGAAAAATAAAAAAAACTAAGTGGGATTTCTGTGCAACCTAAACACACTTCTTATGAAATAATGATTGTATTTAGCAAGAAGTCCATATAATTTAACATACTCAAAGCAAGACAAAATCAACCACTCATTTCTATTAGGAAAATGATATAACAACCTTCATCTTAATGGGCTGCACAAAGATAAGGGTGGACAGTTGTTCTGAAATTCTCATCAAGACTTCTGAATTTAAGTGCACTGAACTCTGGACACACGCTCGGCTGCCTCTCGACCACGCAAGGAGTCCTTGGGACACAGGGCAAGCATGGAACGGGGCCTGGGGTTTTATCAAAATGCCCTTCCCCACAGAAACCTGTTCCTACCGCTTCTGAATTTCTGCGTTGCTGAAGGAGGAAAGGCGAGGGAGGCCATTCTTTTCGTGGTCGTGAACCACGTTTTCAGGGATCTCTTCAATGGAAGGAAAGGCTCCTGGGAAGTAAACAAGGGAAAAATTGTGTTGACCACCTCAGTGCTATCTTTAGAGAAGATTTCCGTCTCTTGACTTGGGCCCATGTTCCCCACAAGACACCCCCCAAAACCAGGATGAGGCAGTTGAATTCCAAGTAAGATAACTTCACACAGCAAAATGAGAGTGGGAAATAATCTTTTGGTAATTTGTAAGCCAATTAGAGGAAATAGACAAGGTAGGAGAAGGAGGAAGCAAGGAGTGGAAAGAAGGACAATACCCATCCCTGGAACACACTGGAATTGGGTTAAATCTGCCATGACGAATGGACTGAGTGCCTGGGACCAACACCACTCATTCTATCATGAAACTGGGGACACACCAGCACAGCAGGACCATGAAACACAGTTTACACCCATAGCACGGTCACAGGCCAATTACTGCGGGGAGGCAAGGTGCTCCCAGGACCACATCCCTAGGCCTAAGGTGCTTCCTAGGTTATAGGGAACCTATCCACATGGCAGTGGCAAATGTAGCCCAGCCCCTGATTTGGAAAACCAGTGGGAGGGAGGAGGCACACAGGAACTGGGCCCACAGATCAGTTTTCCTATGGGGAACCAGGCCTGCATTGTACTTAGGCTGCTTTGAGGCTTGCTTTTGCTAAAACTCCCTCACCCTGAATTGAGGCAGAAAATGTTTACTGCACATCTTTAAAGTAACTCCCTGAAGTCTGTGCGAAACCTCCCAAGGATGGAGTGTAACTAGTTCAACCACTTTTCCCCTTGCATTTGTAACATCCTTTTCCTTGTAATTAGCAACATCTTCTCCTTTGTTATCTGTAAAAGGTAATCACCTACAGCGAACCTGTGCATAGTAAATGAGGACCATCCTTGATGTAATGCTCCTAGAAAAGCAATAAAAGCCTGTCCAGGGGGGCTGGGGCCCTCTCTCACTCAGAGAGTGGCCATGTCATCCCTTTTCTCCACATGACTTCTGCAGTCTGTGTGAATTTGTTCATTGCAGCCACACCACATGGACCCTGCAGGTCAAGGTTGAATCACTAGGGAACCTCACAGAACCCCAGACGGCAAGTGGCACAGGGTGCTCAGTGTGGGAACGAAGCTAACATCATGGGAGTGACATCAGACACTGAAGCAAGGATCCGGGAGGACAAGGAGCAACTAAGAAAACAAGAGGATCCAGAGCCGCAGTGCTGGAAGGCAGGCCCATGAATGTGACGGCGGGAGGCATCCTTGGGTTGGTGAGTTGGGCAGTTTTTATTCTTTTCTCATCTTAGACGATGGAAATAAAGTGTCACTACCTGAGCTCCCACCCAAGCCTCTGCAAACCTTTACTTCCATCCTTGTGTTAATCCTGTCATGTTAACTTGGAGTCCAGCAGGGAAGAATCTGTCGGACCATCTGAGCAGTGGCCACTGTGCTGTCTCTTCAGTTCAGTCCTCCCCCACAGGTTTGAGCACCAACCCAGAACTGTAGGCCAACTGTTGTGAATGGCTCTAAAATGCACAAGACTGTGAAGTGAACCAACTCTGTGGATTTGTACATGGACCTGCTCAGGTACCTGTCCCCATCCAGGTGCATCTAGGGCCAGCAGAAGTCAGCCACAAGGACCACCTGTTTCTCTACTACAGGTGTACCTTCTTTTATTGCACTTCACAGAAGCTGTGTCTTTTACAAACTGAATTTTTGTAAATTGAAGGCAAGACCCTCCACCAATAAAATTATGACCTGCTTCACTGCAATACTTACTTTATTGCAGTGGTCTGGAACGGCACCCACAGGATCTCTGAGGTGTGCCTCCAGATCACCTGGCAAACCTGCTCCTGTTTTTGTCCTGCCCTTGGAAATGGGTGTTACTTCTTTAAACACTAATGCTTTTCCTACTGTGGTGGCAGATTTCTAAGACTCATACATTTGTTGTAAATTTGATTTGTAACCTTATTCTACAAAGTCAAAATTTCAACATGCTATCAGACTGCACAAGCACATTCCTTATATACCAGAAAATGAGGCAAGTGTCTCCCTCCCTCCCCGCTCCCCCAACCAACCAATGAAAAGGCCAAATGGCAAGACACTGACCACTGAGAACGTGGCAGCAGCAGGGGCTGGAGGACAGAGGCCCAGGCCACCCTCTGCAGGAGTCCCAGGTCTGGTTCTTCACCCAGAAGTCGCACTGATGTCAACCAGACCCATGCTTCATTCAAAGTTGAGTGTGACAGAGCCCATAATGACCTGGGGTCCATTCAGGATAAGTGGGGTTTAAACTAATAAACACGGTGTGTGAAAAGAGTAGTGAATAAGCAAAAACTATAATGTAGGAGGTCACTTTTCAATGATCTAATCTGTTTCCAAGAACACATCAGATTTCCTAAAACAAGTCAGTTAAATACTCTGAATATAAATGCTTGGTGTAAAGTGGAGACCCTCTTTACCCACCCAAGTGGCACAGAATGCTGTCTGGGGGGAAGGAGGCCCCCACACCCACTGGCAGGGCTCCCCTCCCAGGCACTGAGGTACGGGCCCTTCTCACTACCGGAGGGACAGCTATGGGGGTAGCTTCCTGGCGGCTCAGTGAACGTGGGGCCTTGACTTATGAGGACAGAGCCGGTGACTAGTAAGAATCAATGCTATGAATCTGAAGAGACGAACAGGGATCCACTGGGCGGGCAGGCTGCCTGAGGTGGGTACTCTGCTGTGGAAAGCGTGGCCTTGGCAGTGGCCTTCTGAAAACAATCAGTAACTAAATTAACCCCACCGACTTCTTTTTTGAGTGCACCTAAATGAAATTTTATTGGACTACAGCCATACTTATTTATTAATCTGCTGTCTGGGGCTGTTTTTACACCGCACAACACAGCACGCACGGCTGAGACCCGGTGTGGCTCTCCCGTCACTTTGCACCGCTGCAACACACGTGTTCCTGCAGCAGACACAGGCTCACTGCCTAATGACCATAATGCTTTGCTACTGAATAACAAAATATCAAAATAATCTACACGCCATTGTACCTTAAAGATGGAAGATTTTAAGTCCACTTTTCACCGCCAACTTTTAAAGTACAACACTGGTAGGAAAACCACAACAGAGAACTGTCTGAAAGGTTGCCAGCCCCTCTTAGGAGCTGTCCCTTCCTGTGGCTCCTTTCTGCCTCCTTCTGTCCCCCCACCCGGGTCACGGTGACTTTCCCACAGCAAACTCCGAGGTCTCTTGTGTGGGGCAGACAACAGGCACAGCACGCACCATTTAACACGATCAGCACTTTCTTCCACTGGGTGTTGCCTACTTTGGGAGTCTGGCAGAAAAGGATCTTGTACTTGTCACAGACAAATATTCGGTCCAGGACGAACTTGGACACTGCGGTGTGTGAGAGGTTCTTCAGGGCCTCATCCCTGCAGACATTTCGGATGAGCTCCAGGCGCTCCGTATAGACAAGGGGCTGAACAAGCTGCCTGTCTGAAAGCATTTTCCCAGTCGGCTGCAGGTAACAGGGAGGCAAAAGGGCCCGAAGGCTTCATTAGTACAAGACAGGATGCCCCTCGGGAGGCCCTGCTCCCTGGCCTCGTGCTGGGCTCACACCTCTGCCTATCACAGACACAAGAAGGGCCCTGTGGACCTGATTCACCTTCACGTTCAATCAGAGAGACAGCAAACTCTCTTGTTCCTTCATCCTCAGCTTGGACAAACTGAGGGGTGGGAGGTGGGCTGTCTGCTGGTCACTTTGCTGACGAATGATGACCCATAATTTCCTGGAAACTGTAGGATGCTTCTCCCTCGGGTTTCAGTGAGGACCAGTTCCTGCTGCCTTCATTCTCTCTAGCATCTCCCTCCATGTGACTGTGAGTGTGCATATGTGGACCGTATCTATGGGCCGGCTGCCTGCACACTGGGTGACTGTTTTGAAACTATTCTGGTGTAACAGTATATCTGGTTTATTCAGTAAACAAATGAAAACCTCAGGTCATTCAGCATGTTTTGCAAATGCAGAAACCATGACTCCGTTTCCTCAGTGAAAAGCATACGATGGTGTATCTCTGTAAAGGTAGTTAAGGAGAGGGGCAGGTTTTGCTTGGCAGTCCTGTCAGTCTTACAGCAGTTCAGCCACTGGGAGCAAGTGCTGGAGCACACCAGCAGTAGTTTGTTCTCGAAGGAGTTATCAGACCAGGTGGGAAAACCCATGTGAACTGTGGGGTGAAGGCGCTGATGCCAGAAACCTATGCCCACTGGGAAAGTGGGTCGAAAATCCGAGCAGGGGTGGGTGTGCTGGAAGACCCAATGAGCTTGGGACCATGAGGACAGCTGCGAGCTCAGCCTGTGGCTAGGTTTCTGAGCCTGGAATCCAAGCTATGTAACAGTGGGAAATTGTAACAAAGGACTATAACCCACCCCAAGATTCTTTTGACATTATCCTGTAAGTGCTGACTCTAATACGTAGCTTGTAGATAAACAGCGTGTTTATATAAGAATCCTAGAAACTAGCTTCAAAAGATACAGACACTGACCTTCACGCATCCCAGCTCCAGGAGATTTGCTGACCTTCAACCATGGATCCAGGATGACAAGAGGTTGAGATGACATGAAGCCGGGATGGCTAAACCAGGATGACACACACCAGACCGTCACTTGCCCTATCAGAATGGACTGTGCTCGTCTGCACGAAGAGAACTTGCAGCTCCCTCCCCTGATCTCTCTGTTCTCTCCCCCTCTCCCTCCTTATAAACACCTCTGCCTCCACTGAGAGGTGGAGATGGGCTTTAAGACATGAGTCCCCCATCTTCGACGTGGCCGGTAGCTGCAAATAGGCCACTTTCCTTTACATCAGCACTTGCCTCTGGAGTATTGGCTTTCGTAGCAGCAGGCAGCTGGACTTGGGTTTGGTTACAGCTACACAAGGGAATGGCTATACTTCTTTTATTCTATGATGCCACCATTTTTGAAGTGCTAGTTCTGACTCCTCTGAGTTATCTACAATAGGTCTTTTAATAGTTTTTCGCCCCCTCAGAAACACAGTATACAGGAGGCATAACTTCTAGCCCAGGTGCAGCTAAGACAGGTCCTCTGTTGCCTTCACACAGAACTCGAATGAAAATACTTGAGTCACATCTCTTCCTGCATAATTATTTTTTTAAAGATTTTACTTATTCATTTTCAGAGAGAGGGGAAAGGAGGAAGAAAGAGAGGGAGAGAAACATCAATGTGTGGTTGCCTCTCGAGCACCCCTCACCTGGGACCTGGCCCACAACCCTGGCATGTGCCTTGACTGGGAATCAAACCAGAGACCCTTTGGTTTACAGTCTGGCACTCAATCAACTGAAGCACACCAGCCAGGACTCTACAAAATTCTTGAGCAGAGGCTTCACTGTATTCTGGCGTCCAAACAGCAGAGAAGTCAACCCCGCCCCATTGTCATTTCTTTGTAGCCAATGCATTTTTAATACCTGGGTGGCTTGTAGCATTTTTCCTGTTACGATTCTATCACTTTCATCACTTTGTCAGGATATCTCAGTGCATGTCTCTTCACTGATTTTGCCTGGAAAACAACAGCCCTTTCTGCCTGTACCCTTGGCTCAGGAAATGTGCTCTCCTAAGGATATTTGGGTGGGGGTGGGCTTTATGTGAGACAGAGCAGAAAGGTCACATTAAGTTAGGAGGTGCTCCAGCATTCACCCACAGCAGTACACTTCTGGTACAATATGGCTGCCAAGAAAAATGCTGCCCTTCTCCTTACCTGCATTAGATAAACATAATTGTGTTTACCCTGGGGAAATAGAGTCACAGACCATATAAAACCTGAATGAACAGTTTTTAAAAAGGAAATATATATAAGTTAATGTTCTTTTCTTTCAATTTTGGCTGTTTCTTTAAAATACAGAAGTACGTATTACTTCTTCATAAAAAAAGTTGATTTAAAAATATGGGCTAGGGATGTGGGCACCTATAAAGACTTCTGGAAAGTTCTAGAAAAGTCTACAAAGTGACCTGCAGATTAATTCTGCTACATTCAGGTATTTTATGTACCGAAAGGAGGCTCCACAAAATAAGCACATCATTTTTCTCTTTTTTTCAGCACTATCTTCCACAAACCTCTACGAGAGCCCTCTCTGGATTTCCCTGCAGGGCCGGCCTGTCCCTTTCTCACTACCCACAAGCCCCTCTCTTCTCCCCTCTCTCCTTTTTTCTACAGAGTGACACCCACTCTTTCCAGCCACTTCCTGAAGCCTTCCTTCCTCAGGGCCTTTCCACTGCCCAGTAAATAACGAAGCTGAATCATGCAGTTGGCAAGGAAAGTGGACCCAGGATGGGCTCATTTGATTTTCCTTCTCAAAACAAGGCTGATTTGAAAAGGCAACACAGATTAAAAAAAGTTCACATTCCAAAGTATGGCACCCCTTGGACCTACTTTAGAACTTAGAATATCTATAACATAAAGGCCTTTCATTAATGCTCAATTCAAAATCCTACTGCTTTGTTAGGCTGCAGAATCATTAATTTGACAAGTATTTACTCTGTGCTTAGATACAGTCACTGTATTTTTGTGGAGACACAGGGAAAGCCTTAGCTAAGTAAGAACATGCATGGCACTGCATGTGCGTGCGTATGATGTGCAGGGTGTGTGTGTGTTGGTAGATGGTGAGGAAAAGGCAGTGCTGACCAGGTAGCCTATCTCTCCAGCCCCACTCCTTTGGCAACTTCTGGTTATGGCCCTGGTACTCAGTATTTTGAAATGTTTCTGCTGCTCTATCTATCTATTCCCTTCAAGTTACAAAGAACTTCTCCCCAACATTTCAAAGCAGATGGTCCCTCTAAATTAACTTTATTAAATGGACCAAAATGCCCTTGTTGTATCTGTTAAAATATTTTAGGCTTGCCAGGTAGTTCATTTATGGGCCAGTTGCAACGCCCTGTCTTCCCCAAGGAACTGGGTCAGTTACACAGCGGGAGGAGAACATGAGCCTCCAAGAATGAGGACACTGGCAATTTCGGGATAATACAGGTTCCGCCCCACTACCCAGCTCCCTGCTTTTCCTTCATGGATCTACTACAACCAAACTCCCTGATACGTATAACCTTTTGCAGGATACTCTTTGCTCTCTCCTGCGTTTGACTGAATTTCCTGGTAGAGGGAAGAATGTCTTAGGGATTCATAATGGCTCCTTCCTGCACTGAAGACACTGTGGAAGGGAGAGAGAGCACCTGCAGACCTACCCGCTCTGCTCCTTTGCAGAGACCCCTCTGATACTCCCTCCCCAAGGAACATAGCCTGCTGCCCTGGCCTCCTGGGACCAGCACCAGCCAAACTGCCTTCTTGCTTTGGTCTAATTTAACCTCGTTCCCTCATCAAAGCCCTCTCTGACTCACTTATCCAAGAGTCTCTCTCTTCTCAGTCTGTTCTAATTATTTTAAACCTCAGATCTAATCCTGATCACAGATGACACTAGTGAGCAGTGCATCACAGGGCAGCACCTCTAAACAAGTCCTATTGAAAAACTGCAGAAAAATCTGTTGCTTTCTGAATTTGCTTTTTTTTAAAAAGCTTAGGCATTATCTACAAAGAAAAAAATTGTTCTCACTCAATTGTGTTTGCTGACTGATAATTCACCTTCTATTTTTCCCCTGTATATAAAACCAATTTTAATGTCTGATGTTACTTTCTACCATTTTCCATTCACATATTCAGCTATACCATATACAAAATAAACTTTTAGTGGTAAGCTACGCAACCTGACCTCCTTCATAAATCACCTTTCTTTGAGGAAAACATGCTGAGCTCATCATCTGACAATTGTCAGAGTGAGTGAATTACATCTGACCACTGTTCCGTTTTCTTTCTCCTCACATCTGATTTTACTGAGAATCAACAGGAGAGGGGAGGAAAAAAAAAGGGGACAGAGAACACTGCATGGCAAGTCCAGGCCTACTACCGCCGCACCAGACACACTGACACCCAGTAACTGCAAGGGACAGTCGGGTGCGCCACTTTCACCACACACGGCGCCTGCAGGCCAGCAGTCTGTGCAGAAAGAGTGGCCGCCGGGATGACGTGTGTCCCTCTTCCCAAGCTGCAGCACCCTAGCAGTGCCTTGTCTCAAGGCCCTCTATTCCTTTTGTAAAATGCTTACCCTACTTTATTGATCCAAGTCACCAAATATCAGTTTCCTTAATTCTTTCTATTAAAGTCACCCTCCCATTTGCTCTAGGTGTGTTTCTTGTCTCTATGGTCCATTCACACTTTCCTTTCCCTGGAACAACTCACACTGAAAGCAACATTCCAGGCCCATCTGATAAAAGAGTTCTGCTGATCTGATCTTTATTACACCCATGTCCTGTGAAAAGTTAACTCCAACGGATTATTACTCTGACCGCATGCATGCTTTCTGAACTTAGTGGGTTCTAATTTGCTGTCTTTATGCTGTGAGTTATGAACAGGAACTATCCCTTTTAAACAGGAACTATCCCTTTTCAGTGGTTTAATTCTGGGCTGATAAACATCTTTAGAGCTTGCTCTATCCATTTCATTCTTTCCAGCACAATTTCAGCCTAAACCTTCCAGATTGAGAATGGGAGCCAGCAAGTGAGAGAAGATCTTAAAGGGTGTCCCTCACTGTGGCTAAGGTCTGATTAGGAGTTTACATGTAAAAGGAGCCTAGGGAGAAAGACGGAGATCAGAATGTCAAGGAAGGAGAGCGCTGGGAGTGGCAGCCTTGGGCTCTGCCCCTAACTCCCATGTGATTCCGGCTGATCAGCCTTTCCCCTAAACTCAGCTCTTTCATCCATACCATTGGTTCTTCTGTCCAAGACCCCATCTAACTCTAAAGTTCCATGATTCCAGTCTCCCACACCCTTGGTTTTCTCTCGACCTTGCCTGACATCCTCCACTCCCCTAGCAAGGCTCCCTGTCAGCTGGCCAGAAATTTGGCACAATCAACATTTACAGAGCACCCATGATGTGCAAAGCACTGTGAGGAACATAAATAGTTGTGACTTGTGCCCCCCACCCCCAAAGAGAAGCTAAAAAGATAAGCAGAAATGTGCAGAAGTGACAAAAGTGTGGAAATGGCAGATGAGCTCGGAGAGGGGAGGCCAGAGCCACACATCGGTGGGGGCCCTGCTGGTACTAGAGGGAGGGAGCAGGGTGAAACACACAAGTACGAATGGGAACAGGCAGCCCTGCTTCTCTGCTGACCAGGCCAACGGACCAGTGCCCTCTGCCTTGCTGCGCCCACCTTCAGTTCCTCAGGAAACTGCTTGTCTCCCTGTAGCTTCCCTGTATCCGGCATGGCTGTCAGCAACAGGAACTCCTGCTTGACGCTGTAGGCTAAGAGACAGAGAGGTTGAGATGCCTTTCATGGAGGAGCAGACACACAGGTCAGTGCAACAGAAAAGATGCCCCAGAAGCAGACCAATGCAAATACGCCCAACTAGCATTCGAAAGGTGCAAAAGCACTTTGGTAGATGAGGAAAGTCTTTTTCAACAAGTGGTACTTGAGCAACTGAACATCTATGGACTCGTATGGCTGTAAAACATTTTTTAAAACATAGGAGAAAATCTTTGGAAAAATTGATAAAATAAACCTCAAAATAAAAACCACATATCTGCCTAAGGAGTAGTATCTAGAATACATAAAAAACTCTCAAAACTCAACAGTAAAAAAACATCCGAAAAGAAAGTGGGTAAGACATGAACAGATGTTTCACTGAAAAGGGTACACAGGTGGCAAACACACATGAAAGGGTGCTCCGCATCAGGAGCCATCGGACAAACGCAAATTAAAACCACAGGGAACTGACAGAGTACGGGGAAAAGGGAGGGTTACAGTTGTTTGTATGGAGAATAATATGACAATTAATAAATAACAATGTAAAAACAAACTGTGTCTCATGTATTCACAACTGTAATCCTACTTTGCCACACCTCGTAGTTACAGAATGGCCACAAGGATGTAAAGTACAATATAGAGAATATAGTCGATAACACTGTGATAACTGTATAGTGTCAGAGGGGTACTAGATTCATCGGGGTGATCACTTCGTAAGTTACAAATGTGTGATCACGAGGTTGTACACCTGGAACTAATATCATACTGTATGTTGGCTATAACTGGGGAAAAACACCCCACAGTGAGATACCACTTCATACCTATCAAAACGGCTAAAATACAAAATAGTGAAAACACAAAATGCTGGCAATGATGCAGAGAAAATGAATCACTTATGCAGCACACATGGCTCGTAGGAATGTAAAAGGGTATAACAGTTTGGTCATTTCTTTACAAACCAAGCATGCAACTACTATACGAACCAGCAATAGCACTCCCAGGCACTTATCCCAGAGAAATGAGAATTTATGTTCATCCAAAGCCCTGCACGCAAATGCGCGGAGCAGCTTCATCTGGAATAGCCCCAAACTGCACAGCCTCAAATTGGAAATAATCCAGATGTTCTTCAACAGGTGAATGGTTAAACAAATGGGTATATCCACCTTGGAATACAGCAATAAAAAGCAACAAACTACTGATACGCTAAAGTTGGATGAATTCCCAGGGATTATTTTATGTTGAGTAGTAAAAGGCAATCCTAGAAGGTCACATACTGGACATAAAATTTTTTCCCTCATTTTATCTTTAAAAAAAAAAACACATTTCAATCACAGTTGACATTCAGTATTATATTAGCTTCAGGAATGCAGCATGGTGTTTAGGCGTTTCTGTAACTCACGAAGCAGTCCCCCTGGTAAGTACTGCACCCATCCAGCACTGTACCTAGTCACAGTACGGACGGTGTTCTCTACGCTGTACCTTACATCCCCATGACTAGTCTGTAACTACCAATTTGTGCTTCTTAATTCCCTCTCCTTTTCGCCTAGCCCTCTAAGTGCCCTCCCATTATAATATTCTTGAAAAACAAAATGACAGAGAGGAGAGATCAGTGGTTACCAGGGAGGAGGAGCTGGGTGTGGCTGTAAAAGGGCAACAGGAAGAACTCCTGTGGTTCAGCAGCTTGAATATTAATGTGAAAACCCTGCTCCTGATTCTGCAGCACAGTTCTGCAAGACGTGCTCACTGGAGGGAACTGAGTCACGAGGGACGTAGAACTCACTCTGTTATTTGTTATGACAGCATGTGACTCTGTAATGATCCCCAAATAAAATTTAAAAGTTAAAAAACTTAGCAGTCATGTTAGTGATTACATATTAATTTAAAAATTCATGGGAACTGAGATGAGACTAGAGAAATCTTACAAAATGCTAGTCCATTTGGAAAGTAGTAATTTATAGCAAACTGATTTTGGGAAGCCTTTGGGACAAACTTTGAAGAAAATTTTCTTTTTTTTTTTTTTTTTAGTTTTTTAAAAAATTTTTATTTAGTTATTTTTCAAGTACAGTTTTTTGTCTATTTTTCCCATCCCAGCCTCCCCCGCCCCTTGCTCCCCACCTCCCTCCCATTTCCACACCCCTTAGTTCTCGTCCCTGTGTCCTTCCTATTTGTTCCTCCAAATCCCTCCCCCTTTTCCCCCTTAACTTCCCTTCCTTCTCCCCTCTGGTCACTATCCCCTTGTTCTCTATTTCAGTGTCTTTGTTTTTTGGGTTTTTTTTTTTTCTGCTTGCTTGTTTGTTTTGTTGTTTAGCTTCCTGAAGAAAATTTTCAGATTTCTATAATCAAGCATTTACTTTCAAAACTTTGCAAAGTCTAATACATAACTAGAAAGAAAATATATATGTAGCAAATAAAAGCATTAAAATCAGCATAACAAAGCATGAATAAAGGTACAGTTCACTTTAAAAAAAATCAAAACCAACTCCCCTTAGGTCATTAATACCAACACTGCACATTCCACCGCAGCCTCCACCCCCCATCCCGGCCCTCACCTCCCCGGCCACCACAGCCATGAGAAAGCCCCTGAGCAGAGCCCTGATGTCGTCCCTGAGAGGAAGGATGAGAACATCTTACCGTTGCCCTGACAATAATAATCCCATCTCCCACAGCTTTGAGTTAACTGACTCCAATCAAATTCTCTGTCACACAACTTCATGAAAACCCACTAAAATCTATTCTCCATGTTCTAGGTTTGGGTTAAAATGTAACCTAACCAAAGCTGTACACAGGAGCTGACTTACACCTGCAATAAGGACCAAGAGCGTTACATTTATGGTGCAAAATTAGATGAAAGCATCAGTGCCATCGGCTCAAGCTGCTGAGTGCACTCTGAGGACTCTGAGACCAACATCTGTCCCTGCTCCTCCTGCACGACCTTACCATCTGTGAGCACCAATGCACTAGTTAAAAAAGTAGCACTCTACTCCTGCCTGGTCACCTTGTCTTTCCACAGTTCTCTACCACTATTAGCACTGCAATGTTTAGCTAGTTCAACACAGTTCAGTGGCTTTCGTAGAAATCTAAGCTTCCTTAATAACGTTTTAAATAAGACAATGTATCCTGAATTCTAAACGATTGACTTATCAACGGGTTTTTGAAAAGCAACCTATTTTAAACACTCATAAGCACAGAGAACAGGCTTCGTAACTGTGGAACAGCTCACATATTCTGGCCCGTCATCTGCCTACTTTGAACATTTTTATGATTTTAAACTTCCTGGTATTTGCTCCCCAATTCCCCTTGGCCCTGATTTGACTAGATCGAAATAAACTGATAGCACAATTTATGTTTGGTTTGGTTTTACCATTGCTTTGCCAAAAAACACTTATTTTCAGCAGATCCATTATCTGCATTATAACCCAAGAGTGGTTCTCTGCCCCCGTCAACCCTCAGGAACAAGACTCCAGCTGCAAGACCAAGGATTCTGATCCTCCAGGTATGGCCAGGTGCCTTCAAAATGTATTAGCACCCTTTTGTTACAGGCCTCATTATATTTACATATAATGTTTTACAAAATATCTTCAAAGTTACAAGTGACATGCTGCTTTGTTTTCCTAGAGGGAATCACATACACTCATCTCCCTGACCACCCTGCGCCCAGCCCCCAGCGCTCACAGACAGAGGGCAGGCAAAGACAGTGATGGCATTGGCTCTGCCCTTAAGTGGCTTACAACCGGGTTGAGGGGCTAAGTGGAGGAAGAAGATTAGAAGAAGTCAAATGAAAGCGAGCGGAAAAATGTGCCTACATTTATGCACCAGATCCATAAGGATGTCATTTTTTATTTCAAGTCTCAATGTTCCAGGACGTAAAATTCCCATCATTGAATGGGATTTATTTCCCTACAATAAAGCTGGTTATTATCCCTGATCCTAGTTCAACACGACACTGAAATTTGTTAACCAAGGATAAGTTATTGCCACAAATATCTCCACAGCTTCATTGCTGAGCTGGAGAGGCCTTAACACTATTAAAAACAAACAAAAAACCCACACAAAACATTGATGACAAGGTAAGTGTTGCTTTAAACAGCAGTTGAGTTCAGGACAAATCTCTTCCCATCAGCCTAACCAGCAGGGAAACCATTAGGAACAGGCAGGTGAGAAAACACACATCCACTGAACAGTTCTAGAACAGGGCCCATTTCCCGGAGAACAGAGCCAGAGGGACGGCCCCACGCACACCTGAGTTACAACCGGCCCCCGATGCTGGGACCAAGGATTCGCTACCTGCTTTACAGGAAGCGGGCCTTTGTCACAAAGGATACTGCTGTGTTGTCAGCTATTTCCTTGATGCTCCTTCACAGTAGGCTCTTGGTTCAAAAGCTAAAATACTGTGGACACCAATGAAATACATTCTAACATGTGAGAAAATCTGTCAGACACAAGTTTACAAAGCTCTTCCAGTTTCCTGGGCTCCAAGATCCACTAGGGGTTTTAAGTGTCCATCCAGAGAGAGGGGGCCCCTCAGTCTAAGTGGATGTTTCCACTAAACCACAGGGCTCAGACACCTGACCCATCCCCACCCAAGGTCTTCTCCGATGGCCTTCAGGGGTTAAGTGTTTAACTTCTCCAGGGAGGCTCAATCATCCAAACTGGCGAGACCCTCCTTGCCGGTGAGCTCACTGCTTTCATACAGAATTCAGCCATCTTTGTGGTTCTAGCCAGGTACTCAGGGACTATCAGGTAAGATCCTACGTGGTCGAGAAAGGCTGACCTTTGTTGTGCGCCCAACAACATAAGGTTCTCACTCTGAGTTCGGTGAACACTGTGGGCTCCGCCCTCTCGGGCCCTAGCCATTCTTCCCTGAGTGGGAACGAGGGAGTGGGGCCAAGTGTGCACTAGGTCTGGAGATCCCCCTTGGAGGGGTCCACACCTCTGTGCTCCCGTGCACTGACCACAGCATCGCACGGCCTCGAGAACGGCAAAGGGAACGAGGAACTGC